TTTATGTAAATCTTAATTTACATGTATACCCTTGCACAACAAATGTTCAGCGTGTGAGCATTAGCTATATCCCAACGCAAAGTTTAAAACAATGGCCATCAATAATAATTATAAGAAAGGTAACACTTTACAATAAAGATCCGTTAACTAACTAGCTGACAATGAGCAATACCAAAGACTATAGAATAAAAAAAAAAAGCCCTTAAAGGGATTTTGGCAATACATAACGTGCTCTATTCATTCTTTTTTTAACGGTAGTTAATACAACTGTGCATAAGGGATACGAAGAGATACAGCTTTTGGATTTAATAATGTATTAGTAAATGCTGAGTCCGTATTAAATTAACAACTGAAAATATAAATATTATTGAATTATTTATTCATGTGATGATTATTCCAAACGATGTTTGAAATCAAACTAAACCCATTCGACGAGATGTGACGTCACATATCGGTCCGCTCGCTCAGTCATCGCTGCCGCTGCTGCTGAGAGAAGTGAGGCAAATAACGTGAACTTCAGTCGTTATTTTGTGTTTCAAAACGTTATGGGATTATTATGTCCAACCTTTTATATCATCATGGCCTATAGAACAAAAAAAGATGTTTTGAAGTCTTTGGAAACATCTTGGACCGCCGCTGCAGACAGGTAATGAACACACCGGGTCCCTGAATGAACGCGTACAGTCCGTTTAGCGAGCTAACGTTGCTCCGCATTATTCGCGGGATTACAGCTGTCACAACATTGCGTTGCCATTGTGTAACCTGGCAACCGTATGTTCAATAATAGCTGTGTGTTGCGTTATTCAGTTTTGCTAATTAGCTAGCGCGGTGTCGCTTCATTGCGCCTTTTTGTTTTAGTGATTTGCTCTGGCTGATGCTTTAGCTTTAGCTAGCCTGTGTCCTGTGTCTCCCTCTGTTATTACTGGATGCGGAAAGGACAGAGAACGCCTCAACCAATATCTACAAGACAGCGGCAGTTTTCAGCATAGCTTGTGGTGTTAGCATAAAAATTCAGTAACACAGCCAGCCAACTAATAAAGACATGTAACAGGCCAGCTGCAGCCATCCTTAAGATGATCCTCACTAAAAACAGTATTGCTAATACAGTACAGATTTAATGATTAACGCTTGAGTAAAAACCTTTTAATAGCGTTGAGTCCTTTTTAAAACAATAATTTGATTTATTTGAAACTATAATGTTTTTGTGCTCCAATTCAAATTTATTCAAATGTAAAATCTACAGGTAAATTATGTTATATGCAAAGTAACATGCATGCATGCATATTTATGCATATAAAAATCTAAACAAAGCAACAAAACACTTAAACTATATACGTACATACATACATACATACATACATATATAAAACAAAACATTTTATGGTACGAATTTAAATTTTTTTTTTAAATGTGGATATATCTTTTAGATATTCTAAATTTATTACTAAAACAGTTTTGTGTATGTCAAAATGTTAGTAATTAGTAAAAAAACAGATTACTCCATATAAACAAGTGCAACAATTAATTAAATTCATAATTCACCAACATTGCAGTCAAATAATGACAGTATAAGACTGATAGTGTATGCAATAATAAGAATAAAACACACAGTATACACATACATACATACATGCATAATATACAGAAAAATATATTGCTCAAGATAATGCATATATTTACCACTCCAACAGATGTGTACATGACTTGCAGAATGTTTCATTTAGCTTCTTAGCAAATAGTATTGATTGCATTTTTATTTTATCATTGACGTTCAAACAGAGCCAAGGTTCTCTGTCTTACAACTAAGCATGCATATACCGTAAAATAGTATTTTGTAGTCTTTGTGATGTAGATTTACAGATTATGTTTCCCTGAGTCACTGTCTTGCAGATATAGTGAATTGTATTCTTGTTTCAGGCCTACAGTAAGCCTGTTCCTTAAGGATTTGACTGTATTTTAGCTCCTTTAGTTTCTGCACCCTAGCAGTGACAGTCATAAAAAGAATCAGGAGAGGTTCTTCTACAGATCTTACCTATTCTGCTCAAAAGACAACCTTAGGACAGGTCAGATTGATATAGTTTGGGTGCCTTCATAGAAGGCCTTCTTAAGAATATGGATGGAGCCAATAAAATGCATTTTTCATGATTTTTGTCTTGTCTACAGCCCTGTAGGTAAATCTCCCTTATGTCTGCAAACGTCTCTAGAGCCTTTAATTTCTGATGTAACCGTGCAGGTCCAGCTAAACTAAGCATTTTTAAAATGTACAGATTTGTTTTTTCTAATCTTTTCAGCGTGGACCCGAGCTCACTGATGTGAGGTGTAGATCTTCTCTGAGTGTGCTCAGTCCACTCTTGAGCCTCAGGATGAGTGGGTCCGGGGAGCAGACTGATATCTTGGCTGTCGGGAGCATGGTCCGGGAGCGATGGAGAGTGGTGAGTTGTTTTGAAGGAGCTGTATTTAGGAGGACAAGGCTTCAGGACTATTCAAATACTCACTGTTGGTTTCGTAGAGATGTTCTGATAGCTGTCAGATTCTTTCATGTAAACAGTCACTCAGTCAAGGAGGTTTTTTCTTTTGAGCTCAGTCAAACGATACACCGCAGGTGTGTTGAGCAGTGCTGACATCAGCACAGAAAACTGTACAGCATGCTGACAAATAGTCACGAGACACAGCATTTTATTTCATGATAAAAGTGTTGTTTTGCTAGGGCATTTTTTTAAGACAGCATTTCATGCCTGAACAGAACTGTTGTAATATCTGTTCTCTGACACAAGTTTGAAAGCTGTCTACTCAGTTATAGGAGGAAACATATATACAGTACTTTACTGTTCAAAGGTTTGGGGTCAAAATATGTTTTTTTTTTTCTTTTTGAAAAATTTATATTTTTATTCAATTCAACTTTATTTCTAGACTCAAGGTCCATTAGCAAGAAACACACAATACAAACCAAAACAATACACATTAAAAAAGACAGTTATACCAATACTTCCTCATAGAGGACTGATATCGCACTTCAGTAAGCCTATTCAGCAATGATGCATCAGATTGATCAAAAGTGACATAAATGCTGTTCTTTTGCACTTTTTATTCATCAGAGAATCCTAAGAAGCAAAATGTATCACAGATTCCACAAAAATATAAAGCTGCACGACTGTTTTCAACATTGATAATAATAAATATTTATTGAGCACCAAATAAGCAAATCAGAATTATTTCTGAAGGATCATGTGACACTGAAGACTGAAGTAATGGCTGCTGAAAATTAAGCTTGGTCATCACAGGAATACATTTTAAAGTATATTACTGATCATATTTTATGATTTTAATAAATAAATCCAACCTTGGTGAGCATAAGAGACTTCCAAAAACATTAAGAAATCTTATCGGCCAAAAAGTTTTGCACAGTAGTCATTCATTAAAAATTTCTCTTTCCTAACTAGTTGAAGAAAATTGGTGGGGGTGGTTTTGGTGAGATCTATGAAGTCCTGGACCAGGTGAGCCAAGTCAATGTGGCTCTGAAAGTGGAGTCTGCCCAGCAACCCAAACAGGTCCTTAAGATGGAAGTAGCAGTTTTGAAAAGACTTCAGGGTAAAAATGAACATAAGATATTTAAGAATCTCTTTTTTTTTTTTTGAGTTAATGTATATAAAAACAAGCATGAAAACAATATTTGAGAAGTCATTTTGCACTGTGTGTATGCTACTCTATGGGCAATCATACATTGCCAAACACAAGGGGAATATTACTTAAAAATATATGGATTTGTATAACATTAACCATTTTTGCCTTGATCCATGTCATAGGTAAAGACCATGTTTGTCGTTTTGTTGGCTGTGGACGCAATGACCGCTTCAACTATGTGGTTATGGAGCTTCAGGTAGGGCATCAAATGATTTATTCTTGTTTCTGAATTTATGGATGTTATCGCAACTCAACGTAATACAACAACCCTGATTTCAGTCACCTGAAGTGATGTTTGTCCATTGAACTGCAGGGAAGGAACTTGGCAGACCTTCGACGCAACATGAGCCGCGGCACCTTCAGCTTCTCCACCACACTCAGGCTGGGCCGACAAATCTTAGAAGCCATCGAAAGCATCCACTCTGTGGGCTTCCTGCACAGAGACATAAAACCCGTAAGAGTGCTGTACAGAGTCTGCTCTCTCACAGACAGCCCTGGGCCTAAAAGCACTTCTAATGTTGACTATAATTTATGTTTAACAGGGCCTCATTATTTCTTTTTAGACTATATAAACTAGTCATCTAACCTTTTTTTTCCTCAAATAGTCTAACTTCGCAATGGGTCGACTTGCCAGTACGTGCCGAACCTGTTATATGCTTGATTTTGGGTTGGCACGCCAATTTACAAACTCATGTCAAGAAGTCCGTCCGGTAAGTAATCACAGATGTCCTTTAAAAATTAATGTTTATGAAATTTCATATTAGTGTTACTTAAACAGACAGTTCACCCCAAAATGAAAATTCAGTCATCATTTACTCACAATCTTTCCAAACTTGTATGACTTTATTTCTTCCGTGGAGCACAAAAGTAGAAATTTCAAGCAATTACTGAAGAATTGCTCATGAGAAAAGTAGTGATGTACGATTTGAGAATGAATGGATCTGTTAAATATGTTTTTTTAATCAGTTGATCTTGGTCACAGAAATTATCTAAATGAGTTGTTCATGAATTGTTACATCTCAAACTCTCATGAATGCGCCAAAAAAAGGTAGTGGTGGAAGTCAAGATTTTTAAATGAACACAAATTTCAATGTCAGAATTTTGACAGAATTTTCATTTTTGGGTGAATTATTCCTGTAATGTGTTTCTGTATGTTTACTTATGTCTTCTCTTTTTTTTTTGTCTAAAGCCACGTCCAGTGGCAGGATTCAGAGGAACCGTCCGTTATGCTTCAGTTAATGCTCACAAGAATAGGGTAACTTCTCTCTCTTACATTCTCAAGCCAATGGCGGATGCCGGTCAGGTTTCTTATACATAGCAGGTCATGTTACTTATTCATATTTCACTAAAATGCACATTCTTCTTGTTCTTTACAAAGGAAATGGGTCGACATGATGACCTGTGGTCTTTATTTTATATGCTTGTGGAGTTCATGGTGGGTCAGCTACCCTGGAGAAAAATCAAAGATAAAGTAAGTTCTGCTCTAATCATAATTTTCCGTGGATAAGAGATTTGCTGTTCTCAGTCCTGCCATCAATACAGGAACAGGTCGGAAATATGAAGGAGACGTACAACCATCGCCTCATGCTCAAACAACTCCCAGATGAGTTTAGCGTTTTTCTCGACCATATCTCCAACCTGGACTACTTCACTAAACCCGATTATCAGGTACTGAACTTTTTTAGCCTTTCTTGACCATAGATTTTGTAAATGTAGACAATCACTAAAATGCTCTTTCATTGGGTTGCAGCTCCTGATGTCAGTCTTTGACAACAGCATGAAGAGCTACAATGTGGTGGAAAATGATCCGTATGACTGGGAAAGGACAGATTCAGAGGACACACTTAATGTTGGAACCCTGGCAACCACAGCCCAGCAGTTGACCCGCCTCACACCGGCATATTTGGGGTAGATAACTAGTATCTACAATGATTCAGTGATATAACGAGTCTCTGTATAAACAGTTTGAAGTGTACATGGTTAAATGAATATATTTCCTTCCAGCATGGCCAATGCCTCCGTGATCCCGGGCGATCTGCAGCGTGAGAACACAGAGGACGTCCTTCAGGGTGAGCGCCTCAGTGAGGCTGATAATTGCGCCCCCATCCCAATGCAGCCTGCACAGGGAGCGGATGTCTGGGAGGATATGGAGCACAGCCGCGACCGAAACCTCAACCACGTTCAGCCTCTAATCAGAAAGGTACTATTCATCACTCTGTTATTGACATACCTGCAAACTTGTCACTTTTCAGTAAAATGTCTTGATGCTTAATACAGGGTGTCCTTGGGTCCTTAAAAAGTCTTAAAATGTCTTAAATAACGTTTTCCTAATATAAGGCCTTAAAAAGTCTTAAAATGTCTTAAATTCGGATTCGATGGGTCTTAATTATTTTTGGTCTCATTACCGCTAAAATATCTTCAGTCTGACGCACCTAATGACTGTTTACAATCATTGGACAGACCGAAGATTTTTTTCTTCCCCACGGTAAATTACTGCGTCATCAGAGAGAATTGTTAGCAGAATACAGAATACAAGCTCGCGCTGAGGCTCTCTCTGTTTGTCTCGAGACTTCAGAACAAATGAGCGTAACAGCACATTGTTTTCTTTTTAATTTATACACATTAAATATTACATATATGTATGTAATAAAATGTGTATTTCCATTACAGGTTTAGGTCTTAAATTTCATATAAGGTGGTATTAAAAAGGTCTTAAAAAGTCTTACATTTAACTTGTTCAAGTCTGCAGAAACCCTGTAATAAAGTAGTGTTTATAAGCACAGCACTGCTTTATAGCTGAATAAAATGTATTATTTATTTATTTAATTGACACTTATTGAACTGAATTGAATCAACTCTGAACTGACTGGAGTTGAATAAAGACACTGTTGTCTTCTGTAAAGTAGCTTTTAGCTTGAATTTAACTTGTTTCATGATTTATAAACTTTACAGTTATTGAACTGAACTGAACCAACAGCTAAATAGCTATGAGCTAAATAATTAGACTATTATCTTTTTAGTGGTGCTTTACACCAAAATTTGAATTCGACTCATATTTGATAAAGTTTGTGTCATTGATTCTGTTATTTTCCTTTTTTAAAATTCCGGCAACCACAGCTGCCGGTTTTTTACCGTAAATTTTACGGAATTTTTTTTACAGTGTATGAACTGCCTTGAAACAGCCTACATTGTGTAAAACACTATATAAATAAAGGTGACTTGACTTGTACAGTGGCAACTGAGGTAACTACCATATTTCTGCTCTCCCACCTACTGTCAGAATGTGAATTTGCATTTTAATTTAGCCAATTTTCCATTTTGTTGACTGTCTGCTGTTTTTGTAGACCAAATATATGTAACATACAACAGAAATGTGGGGTTTATCATTTCATAAAACTTTATTTTGTCAAAACTTGTTTTATTTGAACTGAAAAGTTGTTTAAATCATAGTTTTTATAGTCCTTTTACAGTTTAGGATGAACATTGATGTTGTTTCAAAACAACATATAGTTATATTCTAATATCAAACATTTCCAAAACGATTTCAACTGCTACAATTTTTTATTTAATTAAATTAAATTATTTTTTTTTTTTTGTAGATTTAAATGAGTAGGTCTATTGTTACTTATACCCCATTACTTATACCCCACCCATCACCTTTTTTGCCAGTCTGGAGTTTGCAAGTATAGTGTTTAAGTCGGAGCTTGTGTCTCTGATTCAGGTGGCTAGTGAAGAGGAGCGAAGCAAAGAGGGCAACCAGAGCCCCAACAGTGGCTCCATCCAGGGCTCTCCTAGACGTGTGCGCTCAGAGACCGTGCTCATCGACCGTGTTGCTCCTCTACTGAGAAGGATGCGCCATAGTCAGAGCATGGGGCTAGACAAAAGATTGACCCCTGAACCCAAACCCACACTTGAACGCTTCCTTGAGGCCTAGTCAGTAAACAAAATCCTAATATTCTTCCTTATAAATGTGAATTGGTCTCTAAAAACATCATGACCACTTCTCCTTCTTCATCTTATTAGTTTAGGGAAGCATCGTCCGGGTCTGCCCCAAGACAGGTCTGTCTATCGGGTCGAGCAGGGCTCGTTGGAGGACGAGGAGTGTGCGGCCAGCAGCGGTTATGTTGCCGTCAACCTCAGCCCCGTGCCACAAGAGGGTGACTCACAGGAGTGGGTCTCAGCAGAATTCCACACAGGCGTCTGCCACACTGGTCCTCCATTCGCCAGACTACCAGGCTTGCCTGGAGTGATAGGGCTGTCTGGATTAAGAAGACTGCCCACAGTACAGCCTGCGTCAGTGGTCCTAAGCAGGACTCATCTTGAGCAGGTCAGTATCTCATGCTACATTCTAAAGTAGATGTATTAGCATTTCTAAACATTGTGAAATATACAGCAGGAATTGTCAGACAACAATTATATTATGACAAAATTCCTTGTCATTAATTTTAACATAATAGTGTAATTATCTCATGAAATGTGACCTGGACCACAAAACCAGTCATAAGTCGCACGGGTATATTTGTATCAATAGCCAACAATTGTATGTGTCAAAATTATCGATTTTTATTTTATGCCAAAAATCATTGGGAAATTAAAGTAAAGATCTTGTTCCATGAAGATACTTTGTAAATTTCCTACCCTAAATATATCAAAACCTAATTTTTGATTAGTAATTACCTTTCAGTGACAACTCTCTTTTTTGAGATCAAAATACGTCACCTATGAGATTTGCTTGGATCCAATGAAAAAGTGTTTTTATGAGGGGGGGTCTTACAAGGGTATTTGTGATTTTACAAGGGTAAATAAAAAACTGGTCATTTCAATAAGTTTTGCATAGTATTTTCTTTACTCTTTACTTCAAAAACTATGTCTAAAAAGGGTATTATTTTATGTATTTGAGGTCTGAGATGTGGGAATGGTGAAGAGAGAGAGGGCAAACATTTTGCATTTTAGGTCAGCGTTGCCGTCTAATCAGCCAATATTGTCTTAAATAGTCTGCATAGCACTTCATCTTTTATAACATGGGATTTTGACCAAATATATTCAATCTTGATTTTTGTAAAATATCACAAGATGTTAAAAAAATGGTGTTGTTTTGTTTTGTTTTGTTTTGTTTTGTTTTTTTGTGAGATATTACCGTTTTGGAAATAATGAGCATGTAAAGCAAATATCTTCAATAGAAATTCCGTGTGGCGCATGCCCCTGATCCGCACAAAGTTCTCACCTTTTTTCCCCCTTAACTATTTGCATCTCTGTTATTTATTCAGCTTTCAGATGATGTATACATCTCAATTTAAAAAAAATGACTTATGACTGGTTTTGTGGTCCAGGGTCACAAATATGTTTGATTGTGTATTGAAAACTGTAGCAGTAAGCAGTGATCGTTTATGGGTGCATTGCAGTGGTTTCACTGCAACATCACTATGTCTCGGATTTTGGCCAGCAACTTGGATTTATACATTACTGTATCAAAAACATCAATAGATCGAAAGTGAAGTTGACACAAAGCTCACCAGAGCTCAGCAGATGATGGTACCACTAAGAAAAACAGATGTATAAGAGTTTTTCCCTGCAGAGCTCCATTAATAATGTCCTGTCTCTTAATGTTATTCCCTTCACAGTCATCCAATGCAGTGCTACAGCAGAAGACAGGAGACAACTCTCAGCCTGACAATCCATCAGGCCCTGCAGAAAAAGAGCACAACTACGTGCCAGCTATTTCACCCTCTAAAAGCCCTACCAAGCCAGATGAAAACATTATCTCTGTCAAGGCCTCTGACAAGGATGTGGAGAGTGACTCGGGCTGTCCTGACGGTGGGCCTTCTTCAACCCCCAACCAGGGTGAGACCACTGGACACAGTGTTGATGCAGCTCCGGCATCACCTTGTGAACTCTCACCCCGAGCCAGTCGCATCCCCATCCGTGACCCGGACTCTCCAACCCGTAGGGGTTTTCCAGCTCCGCTTTCTCCATCTCTGTCACTGTCATGTGAGCACTTCCCCTTAGCGCTGCTGCGCGACAAGTTCACTTTCCCCACTGGTTCTCGAGGGTCCGACTGGCAGGTGGAGGAGCCACTCTCTCTGTCTTCCTCCTCAGGACTTGTGTCGAGCAAGAGTAAAATACCAAGACCCATGAGCCCCACACTAGTGCCGGATCAGCTGTCTGCACGATTTATTCCACGGCCGCCACCAGGAAAACCACCCCTTCGCACAGGTGGCGAGAACAGGTGAGAGGACCAAGAATTTAAAAATGTATACTTTCATCATGTACTAAGTTAGAAGGTTCCCTGTGTCAGTGTATTGAGTTGTATCTTCACAGGCTGCATGCAAAAACAAAAGCCGGTTCTTTTTAGAGAATTAAAAACATAGAGTGAGCAATTTGTAGTCAATTCATGAACAAATGATTCTTACAAACCTTTCTTTTTAGTGAATCCAAGGCATATGAGATGAACAGGGTTGTCCAATTTACAAACAAATGTCTATTATGAGCTGGATCATTTTAGTCAAACAAATACAGTGAGTGCGATCAGTGTAATTTGATTCATGAATAAATTACTCTTATGAGCCAGTTATTTTTTACTCTATCCAAAACATTTAGTTCAACCAGTGTAGTCTGATTCACAAACAAATGACTCTCATGAACCCATTCTTTTTAGTGAATCAAAAACATACAGCACAACCAGTGTAATCTGATTCACAAACAAATGACTCTTATGAGCCATTTCTTTTTAGTAAATCAAAGACATAGGGCACAGGCAGTGTAATCTGATTCATGAACAATTGACTCTTGTGAACCTGTGCTTTTTTAGTGAATCAGAAACATACAGAACAACCAGTGTAGTCTGATTCTTGAAAATGGATGAATTGGGTTCTTCTAATGAAGAGTTTTAAATAACTGGTTCTTTTAAGCGAATCAAAAACATACAGAGTGACCAATTTGTAGTCAATTCATGAACAAATGACTTTTACAAACCTGTTCTTTTTGGTGAAGCCAAGACATAAGAGACGAACAGGGTTGTCCAATTTACAAACAAATGCCTATTAAGAGCTGGATCTTTTTTTAGTGAATCAGTGAATCAAAATGAGTGTGATCAGTGTAATTTAATTAATGAATAAATGGCTCTTACAAACCAGTTATTTTTTTTTACTGAATCCAAAACATATAGTTCAGCCAATGTAGTCTGATTCACGAACAAATTACTCTTATGAACCCACTTTTTATAGTGAATCAAAAACATACAGCACAACCAGTGTAGTCTGATTCAACAAATGATTCATTTATTTTTAGTAAATTAAAAAAAATTAACTTAAATGATTTTAGCAAATGGCTGCAATATAACAAAGAGTGAAAAATTTAAGGGGGTCTGGATACTTTCTGTACCCACTGTATATGTAACAAGAGCAGTGTAATCTGATTCATGAACATTTTTTAGTGAATCAAAAACATACAGAACAACCAGTGTAGTCCGATTTTTAAAATGGAAGAATTTGGTTCTTTTAATAAAGAGTTTGAAATAGCTGGTTCTTTTAAGTGAATCAAAAACATACAACGTGACCAGTCTGGTCTGATTCACAAACAATTAACTCTCATTCTCACCTGGTTCTTTTTAGTTAATATAAAACAACAGCACAGCCAATGTAGTCCAATTCCTAAATATACCTCTACATGATCAATGTGATATTGAAAGTTATTGTCATTTCAGACGTAGACGCTACCGCATTCGTGCTAGCAGCACCGGTGACACGGACCTCTTGGACAACCTCTCTCAGCTCATGCAGGAGCGAGGAGGACTGGCCGTCAGCACCTCACGTTACCAACGCACCACTGCCTCCTCTCTGCAGCGCTCGTTAAGCTCCTCGCCTTCCCGTTTTGAGGGGGGTCACAGCCAGTCACCAAATAGCTGCTCAGCCTCCCCGCCTCCTCGAATCAGTGACTTAACAGTAAATCACGGGTCAGGGTTCTGCCCCAGAGTCAGAACCGGAAATCCTGAGAGCAAATCCACAACCAAAATGAGCAAATAAAGAGAAAAGCTTGTAACCGATGGTGTGAGTTGTCAGTAATTTGACAACCGGTTTCAAAAGTAGCGTTTGATGAACTGTAGCGTTTTTACAAGTGGTGTTTTGATAAGTAGAGCGATAAAGGACCAGGTATTTGCCGGTTGGTTGTGATTACTTGAAAGCATCATGTTTTGGACATTTTTGAAAAACGTGAAATATTAACATGCTAAATGTTCCAGTGACACTGTGTAACTTTCTTCTAAACAAATTGCCCATTGCAATCACATTGTTTTTTTTGTTTTTTTTTATATTCTATATAGTTTGTGCCATATATTCTTTTTCTTCTTGCTATGCAAATTATCTGTTTACTTTTTCATGTTTTTTGCACTTTCTGGTTTACATACCTTACATATGTCAGATTTTGAACATTAACTATCAGTGAGAACATTTGAAATCTGAAAACAATGGGGCTGCACTTAGTAACTCATTGTATTCTGTCAAACAGATGCATGTTTTTTAGGCACTCCAGATACTCTAGCCTTACATTTTCTATAATTTTTCTGTTTTTTTAATCATTGGTCAAAGCGTTTATGGTTAAATGCTCATTTCAACAGATAGCTATCTATACAGTGTATCATCATTCATGTATAGGTACATCTGGTACAAGCAAGCATGTGTATATATGTATTTCAGGGAATGTATGTACTGTAAACTGTATCATCTATAGAATGTATTTATTTATTTATTGGATGTGGTTACGTACCTGATGATGTAGCTTTATTACTTGCTACTGAGTGAATTCGCCATCACATTAAGGGTCAGCAACCTTGCAATTGCCAAGTATAATCTCTTCCATGCCTGCAATATCATACTAATAATCCCTGTAAATAGTCATAACGTCAGTAAGAAACTTACCGATATATTGCAGTGAAACACTATGGACCCTTAAATGAACTTGATTCAAACACTCTAGTCCCATTACCATATTACTTGAATACATCAGCAAGATGTCTGCTTGATGAGTTGGCTGCTTATGCTAAGACACTTCTGCGGTTTTTGGGATTGAATTCTCCACCATGGCATTTATTGACAGTTGTCTGAGGAGTGCGAGACCTGTGTGATGTACAAAGAAAGGGATTGTAGCTACCGAGTCATTACCACGACTTCATTGTGTGCTGTGCAGCTAGAGTAGTTGTTTTGTTCTGGATCGTCAATTTTGTCCTCTAGAAGTGCTTTTACTTTAAAAGCATCAGTATAGGCCCACAACTGTCGGTACAACGGATGGTTTATCTTAAGAACTGTACATAACCTGAACTGTATATAGATATAAATATATTAAGAAAAAGAAATTCCACCTCATGCTTCATGTACTGTATTTTGCTAACAAACAATTCAATCATTCAAAAAACAAAGTTACCATGTTGGAATGTATATGTATTCACATCGATGGAATAAATAAGTACTCTTAAGTACTTGATGCTTGATATTGTGACAATATTATGCTGTCATTAGCTTAATAAACATAAAATGCATTGTTTCATAGTTTATTTAAACAAAGCATACAAAATATTTTGTTGCATTAACACTGGAAATACAGTAAGTGTCAGTAATAACATGCAGGAATCTTTATTTTCTTGTGTGTACCATTTTAAACATATTTTATCTGTCTAATCCAATCTTGACTCATGTATATCTAAGCGCTGCATAGAAACAAAAATCCTATCTGTGGTTAAACTGATAATCCACTCAAACCTAACCTTTCTTGGTCAGTCAAACAGATCGGACTCATACAATTGGCAACAGAGCAACATTGTGCATATTAAGATGGGATAAGAAAGCATTTTAACATGGGAAATAAAATAACACACTTTTATGGAAGCTTGTTTCTGCCACAGAATGAAATAGACAAGGTAACTGCAACTTTTTATCTTACAATTACAAAAAAAAACATCTGAATTGTGACATAAAATGTCAGAATTACCTTGTCTATTTTTTTATAACGTAGCAGAAACAGAAAACTTTCTTGAAATTAGGGTTTACATCTCAATTCTGACTTTGTTTTCTCACAATTGCAAGAAAAGAGTGAATTGTGAGATAAAAATGTGTAATTATCTTTTTTTATTTTTCTATTTGTCAGAAACGGGGTTCCATACACTTTGAATGAATCAAACAGGATGGTCATCAGATAAACACAAGCGATTCCTAATTAGGTTTAATATTTGTGAATGACTCAAATTCATGTATCTTTATGAGTCAGAGCTGTGCTGTGAACCTTAGAGCCTTCCCTGAAGCAGTAGAAACAAAGAGCACAATGAATTCTGCGGTATATTCTTCTGGATTAAACGTGTTCTCCAGTGTTCTCCAGTGCTAAGCGTATATAAAATGTTGCATGTGTTATGGCTCCCTCCATCATGCATAACCATGCTCTTTACAAAGAAGTAAATTCCCTGTCTCTGTGTCTGGGCAAATACTCTAGAACAGAGGCGCTGTTTGTCTGGGATCGTCTGGCAGCACACTGATGGAATCCTCTGCTTTTCCACACAACATGCACAACATTGTGTATTCCTGCAAAATTGAATAACAAATATGAAAATAAAACTTCACTGTAAAAGCCTAAACAACTAAAGAAAAACACATTTTAGTTTTTATGTACCATTTACATAAATTTAAAACTTTTCTTATTCAGTTATTGAATTGAGAGCACTGCTCACCTGATAGTCATCCACCACAGTGAAGGTGTACTCGTGTCTGGCTATGACATGATCACAGTTCTTGCACATATCTGAGGAAAAGCAAGCGTTACTGATGACAAATTTGACCGAATATTAACATATACTGAAGTCACGTGACTCACGCAGGTAAGTGACAATCTCCTCCTCATCTTCATTCACCATCGTCCTGTCACTGATCAGCACAAAGTCCCGCTGGTGACAGTTAGCGCAGCCGAGAAAGTTCATAAGATATGAACCATTCTCCAGACAGGTATGACCCTATACTCGTAATACACGTAAGAGAGGGGGAAAATTTTCATTTATTTATGCACACAACATAAACAACCCAAACAAACTCAATTTCGTGCTATCAAATGGGATTTTTAGAAAGAGGTAAATGCCTAATGCAAGTTCAGTTGGGTTCCAAGAAGAACACTTTTAAAGTATTCAGCACACAGGAGTGCAGTGCTATTCAACTTTAGCTGGAAAACAACAGCCAGCGCTACATTTGCCTCTATACACTTTAATGGCATTAAAGGAGCAGATAGCAAGTAAGTTAATAGCAGAAGGATTCGGACAAATGTGCAGTCAGCATTGATCATGAACTCACCCTGTCAGGATACTGTTTCTGCACACAACCAGTACACATTTCGTATCAGACAAATCAAACTAATGCATACAGTAGTGCAGATTAGAAACACTGAGACGCTTCCGTGTTCGTCTTCTTCTTCGGTGAATTCTCTGTACGAACTGTAGTGCCTCCATCGGTGCATTCATCACATCTGCGATCACAGCTAGTAATGAATTGAAGGTAAGTAAATAAATAAATGAGAAATGCAAAATCATTTCTACAGTAAACTCTACATTACAAGGAGCTCAAACCATTTTATTGCATTTTGACTGTAAGGGCTACAGAGAAATGGTTTAATTATTTATTTTTTTATTTCTGAATATAATGAACAGAAATTGCATTTTGCACATATAAATATTTTTAGCAGATTTGCACAATAATTGTTTATTACAAACTGAACGTATATATTTTTTTCTAATTAATTGTACAATGAATTGCAGCCACACCACTAGGGGAAGCATTCTCCAGTTCTCGCGATGTCTGTGTCAGTGCAAGAGCACTGTCAGTGCTGGCAGTGTTGCCATGTCTGCAGAAAATAAACGAAGAGTCGTATAAACGTGTAAAGTCACGAATTGCACTTTCCATAACATACATTTTCCGAAAGTTTTTTCAGTCTTATTTAAATTAAATTTGGTCGCTTATTTGGACGTATTTTGATCAGAGAATTTGCATATGTTGGACCCGTAATAGCTTGTTTGTACGATATCTGGCAACAGAATCCAGTCAACATGGACTGATTCAGCAGCAAACACGTGGACAGGCATCGTAACACACTGAAAACTCATAAAAACGGTCTTTTTGAAAGGACAGCCTTTGTGACCGTTATCTCTTAAGATTGATATGAAATTGATCAGTAATCTCTCAGTTTGTGATTATCTGTGGGTGGCCTGATTAATGTACATGACAGGAGTCTTCCAGCTAGACCGAATGCTCTGAATGCCTAGCATCGATTAAAATTTATAAATATAATCGCTAGCTCTATTTTGTAAATCAAAACACTGTGTCCGGACTCCGTAGTGACTGTGAACGAGAAATTCTTTCTTTCATTTACGCTCAGAGACACCACAACGATGAGCAAAAAGACCAAGAAAACCAACGTCAACTTTGGCATTAGATGTTCTATCTGCGGTCAGCAGTACGAACAGAGGGTTTGTTTGTTTGTTTAACTATTTCTATTTGAAACAATTTGGTGTTTTAATCTTATTATTTGTTGTTCTCTGTTGCGTCCTTAAACAGGGTATGGCCACTTTAGTATTGTGGCTTCAGATACATTAAAAAAAAAAACAATAAATATGGTTTAGACCTTTTTTTCTTTTTTTTTTTTCTTTTTTTTTTGTGCAGTGTATATAGAAGGACCCGCATCCTTTTGCTTTCTAAATTTTTACGTCATAGCCATAAACCATTATTTGGTATTTGCTAGTTTGTTGCGGGTGCCACAACGGGGCGGGGCATTGTAGATATTTGATTGGATAACACAAGTGAGTGCAGGATGAGTCATCAAAATTTTTGGTATATTTTTAATATATTAAATGCAATGCAATATTCAGTGGAGAGGAAGTTCAGAATGAAGACATTGCATGAAAACGATGTATTTTCATTTATGCCTCTCACTACTTGATTAGATGTTTATATATATATATAGATATATTTTGTTTTTACAGTTTATAGATAAGCATATGCATTCTTATTTCCACCATGAAGCAATTGAGAAGATCAAGGGCAGGTATGGAATTACACTGAACTGATTATCATGTCTTTCTCAGCAATATAAAGTAAGTTGAAATAAACACTTTTGTTGTTGCAGTGAACAGCTGCATAAGTGTTGGGCATGTGATGTATCTGTGATGGGACTAGAGCAGTACAAGGAGCATATTGCCGCCCACAAGCACACACAAAATCTGTTTAAACTCCAAGATAAAAGACATAAAAGAAAACCTTTTAAAGCGGACTACAATATTGACCTAAATGATAATGAATTAAAAGCCCGTTTTGATCTAAGACAGCAAGACAGGTAAGTTTGTTACCTTATACATTAAATACATCTATCTGTTTTGTTAATAATACATGTTTTTGAAATTTACATGCTGTTAAATTTGGATAAATTTGCTGTTTAAAATGAGTTTGCTTATTATTTTATCTATAATAATTTGTTTGTGTACTAGATCCAAAGTTGAAAAAAATTATTTTTTATCTATTTTAGGAGAGAAAAAAAAGATCTGGACAAATGTTCTATCTGCCTTCATCGTTTCCCTGAACAGGTCAGTAATTTTGTGTTTGGGTAGAGTAATGGTAGAAGTAGAGTTGGTAGATTTAATAATGTACAGGACAGTACTACCTTCACTATGAGAGAACCAATGTTGGATGGAGCCTACAATATTCAGCTTTATAATTTTTCAGGGAATTAAAATCATATTATCAGTAAGTAATGCTTTTGTGTATGGTGTAATGGTGGACCTATAACTCATTGGTGTTTGCTTTCCCAAATGGAATGTTTTAGGGTCATTTTAGGCTGTAATGTTTAGGCACATTATGGCTATGGATATAGATCTATTCTTTTATAGTTAACTTTGTCTTTGTTGTAACAGGAGTGGGACAAACATATGCACAGTTTTATCCACCATAAGACAGCTGAGCAACTGAAGGGCAGGTATGGAACTAAAAAGTGTTGTTTGTCAAGCCCTGCTTCAAAAGAAAGTTCACACAGAAATGAAAATAATTTTATAATTTACTCATCATTTAAAAATTGACAGTAAAGACTTTTATGAGCTTACAAAAGACTTCCATTTCAAAATAAATGGTGTTCTTTTGAACTTTCTATTCATCAAAGAATCCTGAAAAAAAAAAGATATGACCGTTTCCACAAAAAAATGTTTAGCAGAAAAACAATTTTCAACATTGATAATAATATGAAATATTTCTTAAGCAGCAAATCAGCATATTAGAATGATTTTTGATCAAATAAATGCAGCCTTGGTGAAGCTCCAAAAAGAGCCACGTAAGCCGCTTCGACATTCTGCTTAATAACTCCTTTTGACTTCCATGGAAAAAAGGCACAAGAGTAAGTAAATGATTACAAGCTGAACTTCATCTTTATTAATGCAATGTCAAATATATGCTTTTCTTCTTA